GTAAGGTTGGGGGGTTAGCGGGGGGGGGGGGAGGGGATCTAGGCGAAATGGGGGAGGGATGGAGGGAGAGGGGGTGGGAGGGAGGGAAATAAGTTCAGTTGGGAAAGCGGGATTCAGGCGAATGGGGGTGGAGGGGGATGGAGGAAGAGGGGAAGAGGAAGAGGGGAAGGGGGGAAATAACTTCAGTTGGGAAAGGGGATTCAACGAATTGGGGTGGAGGGGGATGGAGGAAGAGGGGAAGAGGGGAAGAGGGGGGAAGGAGGGGAAATAACTTCAATTGGAAAGCGAGGAATTGAGAGTGTGTGGAGGGGTGAGTGATGAAGGTCTGGTTGAGTGATGAATGAGTGAATTAGTGGTGTGGCGAGGGGGGCCGGGCTAGGTAGGGGGTTGGGGGGGGAGGGGAGGGGGACTAAAAGACTGATTAAATTGGGGGTGGGGGAAGTGGTGGGGGGGAGAGTGGAAGAGGGAGGGGGAAGGGAATAAGCCTACTAGAAGGTGAGGAATCGAGAGAGTGACGTGAGTGAGGGTGAACATGAGGCGAATGAGTAATGATGGGGTTTTGATGCATTCGTGAATAAGGGAGAAGGCAGGGTGGGGGGGGAGAAAACAGGATCCAGTGGAAGGGGCGGGGAGAGAGAGAAGGAAGAAGGAGGGGAAATAACTTCTCTGGAAGGTGAGTCACTGTGAAAGCCATTGTGAATAAATTAATGAGTTTCGATGAGTTAATGGAAGGTCGAGGAATTAATGAGTTTGTGGCGAATCAGCGAGTGAGGGATTGTTTGGGTAGCACGTGATGAATGAGTGATGAAGTAAGGCATGGGTGATGACTGTGAGGGAGCGATGAGGTGATGAGTAAGCGGAAGAGACTGCGATGACGGAGCGAGTTGGGGAAGAAAGTTTTTTTTTTTTTTTTTTTTTTTTTTTTATTATTCTTTTTTATTCTCAAAGGGTGTGGGGGGTGGGGGTGGTAATTATTGATTGGAACGAGATTGGTAAATTGTACATTATTTCTGTTGAAAGGTCATAGTTAATTTTATGATTAAGCGTTGATGATACATTGTCATTCGAGTGACGAGATTTTTTTTTTCATTTTTATTTATGACAGTTGTTGCGTTAATGACGATATGAAATCAGGGGAGAGTGCCCTTGGGTGTTCGTTTTGTTTGTTTGTTTGTTTGTTTGTTCGTTCGGTAGTCCTTGAGGAGCGGTTTAGGATTTTTATTTGAGGAATTTTTCTTGGGGACATCGCTCTGTCTCTGTCTCTCTGTCTTTGTGTCTCCTCTCTCTCTTTCTCTTTCTCTTTCTTTCTTTCTCTTTTTCTCTTTCCTCTTTTCTCTTCTCTCCTCTCTCTCTCTCTCTCTCTCTCTCTCTCTCTCTTCTCCTCTCTCTGTATAATATTATGTATATATATCTGTCTCTTATCTATCTGTGTATCTATCTTTATCTATCTATAATATCTATTTCCCTTTGCGTATCTTTGTCCGTCTGCCTACTTATCTGTCTATCTACGCCTATCACATTCCTTGCTCATTTATCTCAAGGTCTGTGTATCGATATATCTCCTTATTCCTCTTCCGTGTTCTTACCTCGCTCGCTAATCCGCCCTTTCTCTGTGTCACCCGTCGTTCTTGTCGTGTCATGGCCCCTCAAGGCGAAGTAGTCTCGTTGTCATCATGGACCGCCCCCCCCCCCGCTGCTCCCCTTCTCCCTTTCCTCGTCTCCCTCTCCATCCCCCCTTTTCCCCTTTTTCCTTTTTTTTTTCGTCTTGGCTCCTGTTCCTACTCCCCCTCATGCTCCTTATCATCATCATCATCATCATCATCATATCATATCATATCCTTTTACCTCCCCTCCTTCTTTTTCTTCTCCTCCTCCTTCCTCCTCCTCCTCCTCCTCCTCTATCCCTCCTACATACGTCAAGGCTTCTCCCGTAATAAGAAGTCTTCGCCCCTGTCTTTTGTCACTGTCTTCGTTGGTGTCTTTGGTCTACTCGCATTTTCAAGGAAAAGTCTTGAGTCATTCTCGCAACCTTGGGTGACTTGGTTACTCTCTCTATGTTTTCTCTGTCTCTGTCTCTCTCTCTCTCTGTTTCTCTCTCTCTCTTTCTGTTTCTCTCTCTCTCTCTCTTTCTCTCTCTCTCTCTTTGTTTCTTTCTCTCTCTCTCTCTTTGTTTCTTTCTCTCTCTCTCTCTCTCTTTTCTCTCTCTCTCTCTCTCTCTCTCTCTCTCTCTCTCTCTCTCTCTCTCTCTCTCTCTCTCTCTCTCTCTCTCTCTCTCTCTCTCTCTTACTCACTCACTCGCTCACACTCACTCACTCACTCTCACTCACCGTCACTCACCACATCACTCTCATCCACTCACTCACTCACTCTCACTCACTCTCTCACTCTCCCTCTTCTCCTCTTCCCTCTCCCTCTCTCCACTCACCCACTCCCCCACTTCCACTCTCTGCCCTTCCCTCTGTTTTTTTTTTTTTGTTGAGAGGCCTTTGCGGCAATTCCTTTTTTTTGTTGTTGTTGTTGTTGTCTTTTTTTTTTTAGTTTTAATGCCGTGACGACATTTAAAGATTGTTCGGTCGATTCTCGTCCTCGAATAGAAAATCCTTTGTCGGCGTGCATTACTTTTTCTCTTTTTTCTTTTTCTTCTTCTTCTTTGCAATCTACGCGTAATGTGTCTTTTTTTCCTTTCTTTTTTCTTTGCAATCTACGCGTAATGTGTCTTTCTTCTTCTTCTTCTTCTTCTTCTTCTTCTTCTTCTTCTTCTTCTTCTTCTTCCTTTGCAATCTCGCGTAATGTGCATTGCATTGTTTGTTGCCTGCAGGAGGGTGTGTCGGGGGGGGGGGTGAAGATGGTGGTGGTGGTGGTGGTGGTGGTGAGGATTGTTGTGATCATGGGAATGGTGGTGATGGGAGTGGGGAGGGATTTTGAGGGTGATGGTGATGGTAGGGAGAATGGTGAGGGTTGTGATGGTGAGAGTAATGTGTCTGGTTTGTTTGTGTTTATTTTTCATAGTTTTCTATATCCATTTTTATTTATGTATGTATTTGTTTTTTGTTTTTATTTTTTATTGTTGTTTTTATTTTGTGCTTGTATTATGGTCCTATTTTGGATGTGTGGTATTTTTTTTTATCGATTTGCTCCTGGTCTTTACCCCTGACTCCTTTTTTTTTCTTTTTTCTTTCTTTTTCTTTTCTTTCTTTCTCTCCTCTCAGTGGTGGGGGTCTCTCTCCCCTTTCCTTCTTTCCTTCCTCTTTTGCCTCCGAATTTATTATCACTGCCATCCATTTCCTTTATTTTTAGAATTACTTCCGCCGTTGTGCCGCTTCGTCCCTGTTTCGAGCGCATAGGCCTATCTGCGCTCCATTTTCTGATGCTGTTCCTCCTGTTTCTCCCTGTTCTCTCCTCTTTCTCGGTGTGTGTTTTTATCTCCCTTTTTATCGTTCTCCTCTGCCACGTGTGTATTTTCTTTTCTCACTTTTTATGTTCCTCGTCTTCTGTTTTTTCATTTTTCCGGGTGTAATTCCATTGCCTTATTTGGTATTGTTTCTATCCTCCGCTCTTCTTTCTTTGTGTGTTGTTTTTTGTTGGGTTTTCGGTGTTATGTTTCTCGTCTCATTCCCTTCCATCGTGTGTTTATTTTTCTTTTCTTTCTTTTCTAGATGTGTGGTTCGTCCCTTCTCTCTCCGCGTTCAATTTATTTTTTTCGGTTTTCTTTTTTCTTTTGTTTTGTTTCTTTTTCTTTTCTTTGGTTTTTGGTTTCTTTTTCTTTTCTTTTGTTTTTTTTTCTTTTTCTTTGGTTTCTTTTTCTTTTTTATTTTTATTTTGTTTATTTTTCTTTTCTTTTTTTTATTTTTCTTTTTCTTTTCTTTTTGTTTTTTTTTTTTTTTTTTTTCTTTTCTTTTCTTTTGTTTATTTTTCTTTTTCTTTTCTTTTTTTTTTTCCTTTTCTTTTCTTTTGTTTATTTTTTATTGTTCTTTCAACTGTCTCATCTCGCCGTTTGTATTTTTCTTCTCGGTTGATGTGAATCCACCTCCTGTCTCTTTGTTTCATTTTTCCTTTCTTGTATTTTCTCATCCCTCTCATCTTTCTCCTGTCTCTTTATCTGTTTCATTTTTCCTTTCTTTCTTGTATTTTCTCATCCCTCTCATCTTTCTCTCCTGTCTTTTATTATGTTTCATTTTTTTTTTCATGTATTTCTCATCCCTTATCTTCCTCCTGTCTCTTTATCTGTTTCATTTTTCCTTTCTTGTATTTTCTCATCCCTCTCTGATCTTTCTCCTGTCTCTTTATCTGTTTCATTTTTTTTTTCTCATGTATTCTCTCATCCCTCTCATCTTTATCCTGTCTCTTTATCCGTTTCATTTTTCCTTTCTTTCATCCATTTTCTCATCCTTCTCTCATCTTTCTCTCCCCCTTGTTTATCTTTTCCCCCCATTTTCTCCGGCGTTGTTCTTCCCTTCTTTCTCTTCCCATCACCTCTTTTTTTTTTCTTTTTTTTTTTTATCAAGTGCCCTCTCGCGGCCGCCGCAGTAACGCATCAGGCGGGGAGATCGCCTCGTCGCTTTTTGTAAAATTAATAAGTTTAATGCCTTCCCCGAGTGTGCTAATGAGTAGGCTCGTGGTCGGGGCCGGGGGAAACGAGGCTGGCTTCTTTTGTTTGTTTGTTTGTTTGTTTTGGTTGTTGGTTATTTCTTTTTGATATACGGGAGAGCGCGTATATACTTGTTTTTTCTTGTTTTTTTTCTTTTTTTTCTTTTTTCTTTTTTTTGCTTCTTCTTTTTTTCTTTTTATTCTATCTTGTTCACTTTGTCTAATATTTTTATTTTTATTTTTTTTTTTTTTCTTTTTTTTTCTTTTTTTCCTTTTTTCCAGTGAGGGTGGGATGCGCAAGCTCGCCGGTGTTGCATTTTTTCCAGCTATTATAGGCCTATGTGACGTGATTTGGGTCGGAATGTTTTTTTTTTTTAACGATTGGTAAACCACTGTATTGTTTATTTTGTTAGGGTCAATAGCCCATAATCCCGTGACCTACATCCAGGCATTTTCACAGATAGCTTATCTGTTTTATCGGCCCTTTAAATACTCCGGCTGGAGATCAGCTGACACGAATGCTTTGTTAGCTTCGTACTCTGGGGATTTAACTTTTGAGAGCTCTGTGTGCGCGTGTGTGTGGAAATGTGAGTGGCTGACGTACACGGAAGGGGGGAAGTTGGAGTGTATACAGGGTTAACGTGGAAATCTGTGTGTGCGTGTACGTGCGATTGTACGAACGGGTAGCTAGCACGCACACACGAGGGGCTTGGGAGGGAGGGAGGGGCGTGACCTTGCTGCGGCCGCGGTAAGCAGCTGGCGTTACTGTCGTGACGTCATGACCCGCTCCGGTGGGTTGCCGGACCGTGTATTTTTTTGTGCAATGTTGCTGTCATTGTTATTTTGATTGAGTGTTTGCTCTCTGATTGTAGTGGATGGAATTGTTCTGGAGAGCCTTGGTAAGAGAGAGGAAATTAGGGAAATAGATTGATGGAAAAGGAAATTAGAAATAAGAGATAACAAGCTGAGAGAGAGAGAGAGAGAGAGAGAGAGAGAGAGAGAGAGAGAGAGAGAGAGAGAGAGAGAGAGAGAGAGAGAGAGAGAGGGGGGGGGGGGCAAGCAGACAGAGAGCAGAACTAGAGAGAGCCAGAGGAACGGTGAGGTCGAAGGGAGAGAAAGGAGGAGGAGGAGGAGGAGGAGGAGGAGAAGGAGAAGGAGAAGGAGAAGGAAAGGAGAAGGAGAAGGAGAAGGAGAAGGAGAAGGAGAAGGAGAAGGAGAAAGGAGGAGGGAGAAGGAGAGAGGAAGGGAGAAGAAGGAGAAGGAGAAGGAGAAGGAGAAGGAGAAGAGAAGAAGAAGAAGAAGAAGAAGAAGAAGAAGAAGAAGAAGAAGAGAAGAAGAGGAAGAAGAAGGAGGAGGAGGAGAAGCAGAAGGAGAGCAGAGAGAGACGAGACGGAGCGGAGCAGCAATGCCGTTTTTTTCGGCCCCGAGCAAGTGTGCGGCCTGGATGTCATTAGATCTCGGTGCGTGATGTAAGTCCTTTGATATGCGAGACAGAATCTGATGTCAGTGTTGGGGCTACTGCTTGGGAGGTGCTCGTGAGGGCGTGAGGGCGTGTGTGTGTGTGGGCGTGTGTGTGAGGGCGTGTGAATTGTGAGGGCTTGTGTGTGAGCGGCGTGTGTGTGTGAGGTGTGTGTGGTGCTGTGTTGAGGTGTGGTGCGTGTGTATGTTGTGTGTGTGTGTGTGTGTGTGTGTACGAGCCGGTGCAGTCCGTTGGGCGATGGCGTTCTTTCGCGTGTTTAGGTGAGATAGGAGGGAGAAGGCAGAGATGGAGGGGTGGAGGGAAGGAGAGGAGGGAGCAGGGGAGGCCAGACAGCGAAGAGCGATGCGGAGGGAGGGAGGGAGTGAGGGAGAAGTAGAGGGAGAGGAGGTCAACGGAGAAGGAGAGAGAGAAAGAGAGAGAGAACGAGAGAAATTCGAAAGAGGGAGAGAGGAGAGAGAGAGAGAGAGAAAGTTCGAAACGAGGCGAGCAAGAGGACGAGAGAGTAGGGCAGGGAGGAAGGAGAGAGAGAGAGAAATAAATATCGAAAGAGGGAGAGATACGAGAGAGAGGAGAAACGAAAGAGAAATTCGAGAAGGAGAGAGGAGCAGAGAGAGAAACGAGAAAAAATCGAAAGAGGGAGAGAGAGAAGCAGAGACGAGAACGCGAGAAAATTCGAAAGAGGAGAAAAGGAGAGAGAGGAAAAAATACGAGAGAAAATTCGAAAGAGGGAGAGACGAGAGAGCAGAGAGAGTAACGAGAGAAAATTCGAAAGAGGGGAAAAGAGAGAGAGAGAAACCGAGAGAAATTCGAAAGGAGCGCGATGAGAGTAGAGAGAGAGAGAGAGAACGAGAGAAATTCGAAAGAGGGAGAGTGGAGAGAGAGAGAGAGAACGAGAGAAATCGAGAAAGGGAGAGAGGGAGCAGAGAGAGAACTGAAAAAAATTTCGAAAGAGGAGAAGAGGATAGAGAGAGCAGAACGAGCAGAAATTCGAAAGAGGAGAGAGGAGAGACGAGAGAGAGAAACGTAGAGAAATTGGCGGGAAAGAGGTGGGAGAGCAGAGAGAGAGAGAGAGAAACGAGAAAAAATTCGAAAGAGGGAGAGAGGAGAGACGAGAGAGAAACGAGCAGAAATTCGAAAGAGGAGAAGGAGAGAGAGAGACGAGAACGAGAGAAGATTTCGAAAGAGGGAGAGAAGTAGCAGAAGAAAGAGAAACGACGAGAGAAATTCGAAGAGGGAGAGTGGAGAGAGAGAGATGAGAAACTGAGAGAATTCGAAAAGAGGGAGAGAGCAGAGGCAGAGAGAGAAGAGAACGAGAGAAAAAATCTCGAAAGAGGAGAGAGACGAGAGAGAGAAGGAGAACGAGAGAAAATCTAAAGAGGGAGAGAGGGGAAGAGAGAGAGAGAAAACGAGGTGGGCCGAGCTGAAGAAATTCGAAAAGAGAGAGAGGAGAGGAGAGAGAGAACGAGAGAAATTCGAAAGAGGGAGAGAGGAGAGAGAGAGAGAGAAGAACCGAGAAAATTCGAAAAAGAGGGAGGAGCCAAGTTAGAGAGAGAGAAGACGAACGAGAGAAAATATCGAAAAAGAGGGAGAGTGGAGAGAGAGAAGGAACGAGAGAACGAGAGAAAAATCCGAAAAAGGGAGAGGGAGAAAGAAGAGGAAACCGAAGAAAAAATTTTCGATAAGAGGGAAGAAGAGAGAGGACGAGAACCGAGGAGAAATTGCCGATTAAAGGGAGAGAGGAGAAAGAGAGAGAAGAACGAAAGAAATTTCCCGAAAAAAAGGGGAGATGAGGAGAGAGGGACTGAGGAAGGGCGAGAGAGAACCCCAGAGAAAATTCCCCGGAAAGAGGAGAGAGGAGAGAGAGGAGAACGAGAGAAATTTCGCGAAAGAGGGAGAGAGCGAGAGAGAGAGAGAAAACCCGAGAAAATTCCCGAAAAAGGGAGAAGTAGAAAGGAAGAGAACGGAGAAGAAAATGCCGAAAAGAGGAGACGAGAGAGAGACAGGAGAGAAGGGGAGAAGAGAGAAATCGAAAAATAAGGGAGAGGCCCCAGAGGCAAAGAAGAGACGAAACCCCGAGAGGAAATTTCGATAAGAGGGAGAGAGATGAAGAGAACCGAAGGAGAAATTCCCCGAAAAGAGGGAGAGAGCAGAGAGGGAGAGGAACGACAAGAAAAATTCCGAAAGAGGGAGAGGAGGATGAGGAGAGAGAGAAAACCCAAGGAGACAAAAATGAGAGAGGAGAGAGGGAAGAGAAGAGAGAACCCGAGAGAAATTCGATAAGTTCAGGGCACGGAGAGTAGAGACTGAGAACGGGATCCGAAAACCGCAGCAAAAAATTTCGAAATGAGGGGAGAGGATGGGAGGGAGAATGAGAACCCGAGCCAGAAAATTCCCGAAAGAGGAGAGAGGAAGAAGAGAGAGAGAGAGAACGAGAGAAATTCGAGAGAGGGAGAGAGGAGAGAGCACCGAGAGGCGAACGAGAAAAAAATCGAGCGAGAAGGGAGAGAGTAAGAGGAGGAGAGAGAGAACGACGGAGAAATTCCGGAAGCGAGGAGGAGGAGGAGGAGAGAGGAGAGAGAACGGAGAAGAAAAATTACCCAAAAGGAGAGAGGAGAGAAGAGAGGGAACGGAGAAAAATATCGAGAGATCTAGAGAGGGACGGCAGCAGAGTTAGAGAGACGAGGAGAGAACGAAAGAAGCAATTCGAAAGAGGAGGAGAGGAGAGAGAGGCAGAGAACGAGTGAGAAAAATTCGAAAGAGGGAGAGGCAGGGACCGGAGGAGAGAGAGAACGAGAGGAAAATTTCCCGAAAAGAGGTAAGAGCGAGAGAGAGAGAACGACTGAAACAGAACGAAGAGAGACAATTCGAAAGAAGGACGAGAGGAGAAGGTGAAGAAGGGGAAAGAGGAAGCGAAAGGAGAAAATTTTCCGAAAAAAAATAAGAGGAGGGATAGGGAGAGACGAGGGAGACGGGAACGGATGCAGCAAATTCCGGATGAGAGCGAGAGAGAGGAAGAAACTAGAGAGAGAGAACGAGAAGAAATTCGAGAGAGGGAAGAGAGGAGAGAGAGAGAGAGAACGAAAAATTCGAAAGCAGGAGAGCAGTTTAATGAGAGAGAGAGTGAGACACGAGAGAAATTCGAAAGAGGGAAGAGAGAGAGAGAATGCAGAACGAGAGAAGATCGAAAGAGGCGGAGAGAGATGAGAGGAGAGAGAGAGACGAGAGAAATTCGGAAAAGAGGGAGAGAGAGAGGGAGAGAGAGAGAACGAGAGAAATTCGAAAGAGGGCGATGGAGAGGAGGAGAGAGAGAGAACGAGAGAAATTCGAAAGAGGGAGGACGAGTGAAGAGAGAGGAACCGAGAAAATTCGAGAGAGGGAAGATGTAGGAGAGATAGAGAGATGATACGAGATGAAGATGTCGAGAGGAATTTGATGTTAGTATGGGAGAGAGAGAGAACGCAGAGAAATTCGAGAGAGTGAGTGTGGAGGAGATGGAGAGAGAGAGAGATGTGAGTCTAATAATCTGAGATAAATGCTATTGAATGTATAATGGAATAGAGAGCCATAGATGAACGTAGAATAGAGATTCGAAACGAGTAGAGTATGAGTATTAAAGAGAGAACAGGAAATCGAGATGAAAAAATAGATAAGCAATAACTAATAAAATTCGAAAAGAGGGAGAGAGGGAGAGGAGGGCAGGGAGGGAGAAGGATAGTGAGTGTGTGTGAGGAGGGAGATGAGAGAGAGAAGAGAGAGAAGAGAGCAGAAGCAAAGATTATTTAAATCATATTGTGTGATGAGAGAAGAGAAGAGGTGAGAAAAGATGACAGATAGTGTGAGAGTGTAGTAGACAACGAGGCTGGTCTTGTGGGGTCGGTGGTAGGACGGCGTTAGTGAGGGATCGGAGAGTGAATTCAGTGGGGGTTTGCGTCCCCATGGCCCACCCTTGATAATTAAGCCGCGCGGCGAGGAGGTAACGAGGCTAAGTGACCGCCTTCACATTTTATAAGTATCCTATCGTGCGCTACAAGTCCTGTGGCACTTCCGTCAGCCCTCCATACTTCGTAGCTAGGGCCTCTCTTGTGATCTTGCCCTCGATGGACAAGCAGTGGGGTGAGGGCTGGGGGAGGCGGGGAGGGCAATTGCTGTTTATGTCATCTTCTATGCAGGATCAGTAACGACAGTCGTGGACTAGGCGCGCGTGTGCTGATGAAGATAATGAGAGAGAGAGAGAGGGGAGAGAGAGAGAGAGAGAGGAGAGAAGAGAGATGAGAACGATAGAAATTCTAGAGGGAGAGAGGAGAGAGAGAGAGAACAGAGAAATCGTAGGGGAGAGAGTGAGAGAGAGAGAGAACGAGAGAAATTCGTAAGAGAGAGAGAGAGAGAGAGAGAGAAACGAGAGAGTAAGAAGCGAGAGAGGGAAAGAGAGAAGAGAACGAGAGAAATTCGAA